TAAAGTGGTTGGAAGCGTTATTTATTGAAAGTATTTTACTTACTTGCAAATTTTGATAAGCTAATTGAAGAAAACATTCCAGGAGTTTGGGACCTTGTCGCGGTCTGAGTGCTCCTCCTCCTAAGGCGGGAGGTCTTATCCAAACTCCACATAGAGTGTTTGAAAATGGATGAAAGTGTACAGACAGAGACTGCTGTTCAATCAGAACTTATTGAGGAGGCTGGTTCACTTATTAGTGAACTAGAAACTTGTTTAGAAGATGCCTCTAGAGTTACAGTACCTCTTCGTAAGAGGATCTTTAAAGCACAAGAATTGCTATTTGGTTATATTATTTCGCAAGCATTGGAAATAGAGAATCTGGAAGGAAATCTAAAAGTGATAAAAAAAAACCACAACCTTTAATTAAAAAGTCCTTTGCTGAAATTGTTCAAGAACAAAGAGTTGAAAAGAAATTGAATCAAAAGAAGGAAAAATTTAAGAAAAAAGAAGAACATTTAGTGTTGTTATACCCTAAGGTGAAAGAGGTTTCATCTGAAGAAGTGAAAATGAAGGTGGTTGAAGCAATAGATCCGGCTCAACTGAAGATTGGAATAAAAAATGTGAGAAAAATTAACAATGGAGGAATTGTTATAGAATGTGTAAATAAAGAAATTGAAATTTTGAAGAAGAAATAAGATCAAATATGTTGCTGAAAGAAGATGCTGAAACAAAAGCTCCAAAAAAGAAAGGTCGAAAGATAATAGTATAAAATATAGAAGCTGATTTAAAAAAGAAAGAGATTCAAGAATCTGTGATTAAACAAAATCACATTTTTGAAAATGGAGGTTTTGAACTTTTGTTTCCGATTAAAGCTAAAAATAATAAGTTGCATTGGGTGGCTGAAGTTCAGCCTGCCAAATTCAAATCTATAATAAATCAAGGGAAAATTAACTTGAAATGGTTCCGAATATCGATTAAAGAGTATTTGAATGTTGTTAGGTGCTTCAAGTGCCAAGAATTTGGCCATTTTCATAAAAATTGTATAAATAATCAAATTTGTGCTAGATGTGCTCGAAAAGGTCATAACCACTGGGATTGTAAGGAAGATCCAGAATGCATAAATTGTAAAGAAACCAACAAAAAATATAAACTTGAGTTAGAGTCTAGACATTCTAGTCTAGATAAAAATTGTGAATGTCTAAAAAGACAATATGATTTATTGATTAGAAGAACTGATTATGGTTAATGGTTCTATTAAATTAAAATATGCAAGGGATTTGTATTTTTGTTTGAAACTGTAATAAGTTATTAATAAGATTAATAGTTTGTTATTATTGAACTTGTAAGAAAAGAATATTTTTAGTCTCTGTTTTAATTATAAAATAATTGTTATTAAAGAAAATGATCCAATTATTTTATGAAATACAAGTTGTATAAATGATTTATTTTATGTATGAAATACAAGTTGTATAAATGATTGATTAAAGTTTTGTGATCCTAAATGGGATATTTTTATTATGTAAAATTTTAATGTAAATATGTAAATTTAATGATTTTTATTTTTTGATTTTGATTAATAAAAGGATATTTGTACGCGAGGTCAATGGATCTTTCGGCCAGTAGCGGGGTACAGTATGGTGGTTGGAATTATCCTAAATTAGAAGTTCCATTAAACCCTGCATATACCGAAAGGTTCGCAGGATAGATTACTAGTCTTATATCCCCTTAGGTAGTTACGAAGGCATTACACGTATTAGAAATCAAAACAGTCCCGGATCTAGCGGGGGGCAGTGGCGTAGCTAGGGGGGGCAAGGGGGAACATCTGTTCCCGGGCGCAGCATCCAAGGGGCGCCAAATTGATGCTACGAAATTTTTTAATGAAATGTTTTCCATCCTTGGCACACAGAAAGGGGCGCAAATTCATGGAGTATATACAAGGCACAGATATTATGTTTTCAAGCTGAAGCAAGGCATTTAGATTTTTTTGCAGCCAGTTGGCAACTTAGGCTGACCTTTGGTTTGACTCGGAACGGTGGAGCGCATGTTGGATTTTAAAGTTAGATTTATTATTTCTATATATATATTTTTTAAAGATATGCTTGCTTTTAATACCCCGCACTATATTTAGCGACACACGACCATTTATTTAGGACTGTTCAGTGTAATTATGTCAATTCTTAGTTATTCTTATTAAGGCAATTCATAGTGAATTTCATTTAGACTAAAAGGAACCATCTGCGCATCGAGGGGGAGAAAAGCGGAATACAGAAAACGAGCCAAAGATAAGGCCAAACAGAGAAATCAAATTTCAGCTAAGATGAAAAAATAACTTCACGGAAGAAGTAAACCGTCAGATCCTGCCGCATTTCCGATTGTGCTGAGATTCTAGAGGGAATAATATTTCTTGCAATTTGCACGACCAAACATGACTGCATATATCATCCCCAAACAATCTACAAGTCAGCATTTGAAAGAATAAACTTCTTCATCGACATCAAACGAATAGCTGGAGGACATGAAACCATGATATAAAGATCTCTTCATTTAGATGGCAGCGGGCAGCAGAAAGACGAAAAACTAAAAATTTTTGATTTGTTGGATGCATGCAATTAGCTGGTCATAAAAAAAAATGAACGGTCACGAACAATCTTTCTTAAGCAGTCAATCAGTATTATTAGCCGGTAAACATCCGGGAAAACGTAAACCTCAATCCCATTGAATGTCATGGCAGACATTTGACTTGTTATACGGAACATTAGTAAATAATAAAAAGCGTAGATCTTGGTTTACATATTCTAAAAACAAGAATACAATTTTTTTGTATACCCTGCAAGATTTATCAGAAACATGGTGGTGCCATTACGCCATACAACAGGATTCATTAATTGGAAAAAAGTTAGATTAACTGAGCAAGATTAACTGAGCGCGAAGCGTCTGGAATCCACAAAGGTGCATGATTAAGTGGAAAATTCGAGTACAACAAATGAAATCGTGCCAAGGCATCGATCGCGACGGAGTGACTCATTCATACAGAGAAAGAAAAATGGAGAAAAATTCTATATAGTGATGGATGCGGTATTATATCTTTCAACACTCTATCGTTCTTTTCATGGGTCTGATGAAATCTTATTAAGTAGCTTGCTCACAAAGTGTCCTCGACCTAGCGAAGGAAATTTCTGAATTTAATCTCTCCGCTTGCCAAACATAATTCAACTCTTAAGGCCCGTTCCCACTGGGGTTTATCTGAGCTAACGGAGTCAGTTCCATGTGTCGACTAGCTCCGCTGTGCCTGCAGTTCAGATTTTTCAACTTGGCGCCCTATGGGAAAACCTGGTTTTGGAGATGGGTCGTCTATGTCAATTGTGTTCGTTAGCTCAGATAAACCCCAGTGGGAACGCAGCTTTAAGTACAAGCACCTAACAAAGAGAAAGTAATCATATTTACCCCATATGTATCTCATACAGAAAAAAATGAACCAGGTGACTCAATACGTAAAAACGTGTGGTGATTGTGTGAGATAAAGGAAAATTTAATGATTTCATAGAAGTTGGTGAAGATAGGAGAATGTATTTCTGAACGCATTGTAGAAAATTAGTGTTTTAATGACACTTGATGGTTTAGATATTGGACAATGTCGGTGTCAGTCTTACGACAACGGGTCTAATATGGCTGGCATTCTAAAACAGTACAAGCTAGAATTACAGAAATGAATAAGCGGGATGAATTTGCGCCATGTTGGCTCACTCCTCAATTTTGTCAGTATGCATTCTGCTTCTTGTGCCCGGAAGCAGCTAATATGTTTGGAATACTCAGAAAATACTTCGCTTTTTTGTCGATGCACTACCGACAGTATATTATTAGAAAAGTACAAAATACAACTAAAAGGAAGCAGACAGACAAGATGATTGGAAAAATATGTGGCTGTGAAAGTCCTTCTAATGAATTTACGGAAATATTAAATATTTAAAAGAAATTAAAGATATTTCTCTTGATGGGAAATCAAAGCATGAGGTAGAACATCTGTTATAGCTGTGAAAAATTTGGAATTTCCTCAACCTGAAAATTTAAAGCTAATATTTTTCCAGAATTCAATCGAGTAAATATAAAAAATCAAAAGGAATTCTTCTTCCACGTTCTGTGTAGTTAACGAATAAACTAACCAAAACTGAGTAATTATTAAAAAAATGAGAGAAAAATCCTATGGAATATTGGATACAAGAGTCTAAAACATTAGCCGAAAAAATTGCATTTGAGTCTATTCTGACAAAGAATTCCAAAGCACAAAAAGTAACCTGATGAACTGTTTGAGGACGAATCACGAAGCACTTCAACCTGTTCAGATCGAAGTTTCAGCAATTCAGGGCACGTTAAGAATTTAGTATAAAATGGAGCTTAGGTTTTTACCTCAAACCGTACCTATTTCTGTATTTATTAAAGAAATTAAAACTTTTTGAGAACTTGAAGGATGATGGGTGAGGGCGGCAGTTTTAGTTTTTGCCCCACATCAGAAAAATTAAAGATCCGGCGCTGAATCAAAATAATGGAATAATTTTAGAAAACTTTAAGAATGCGGTTTCAAACACTTACTTTTTTAATACTTGTTACCATTTCTTGTCTAATTTATTTGCTCATCTTTAATTTTTATTTCATTTAGCATTTTATAATCTATTTATTTTAATTTATTCATCTATTTATGATTAATTTAATTTACCCATATTTTATTTAACTTTATTTATTACTCTCTCCCTCTCTCTCTCTCTATATATATATACATTGTTTATATTTGTACGCAGTTCTTGCCTGTTTTGGATAGGTCTAATTGTCAATTCGTTTTTTTAACAAATATTCCAAAAACATCGGGAAAAACGCGATTACGAAGCCTGATTATGTTTCCTAAATGTACACATAGATGGCGGCATGAGATCTCTGAGGGGGCAATCGGAATTAGTTTCATGAGTATGCGCGCGCATGTACCTACTTGATCTTTTTTTTTTTTTTTTTTTTTTTTTTCATGAAGCAGTCAAACAGGTGAAAGCAAACACCCAAGTTTAAGAAAAGAGAGTGAATGTGTGACAGCAATGTTACGATGATTTTAGCTGTGAATTTCATATATTTTCATACCATGAAGTGTTAACATGAAGCTTTTATCATTTTTCCATTATAGACTATTGATTATGTTTTAGAGTGAATGTTTGGTGTGCATTTTATAAGTACTTAATAATGCTACGATTTCTTAGCAAAAGATTTAGCCGCTCCACACGAGGCGGTAAAACTCGAGGAGCCGATGGCAAAGTTCCTTCAAAACCTGGAAAAAATATTTTGCCGTGTAAAATAATTCTTCTGGATGGCACTGATTTATCAGTGGATGTACATGTAAGTCAACACTGTTTTTTAGTTTTATAGTGAAAGCAATAACGAAATGTTAAAATTCTTGAATTGCGGTTTGAATGCTTTAAGAATGATTCAGAAAGAATCTGTAAGAAAATATTAGATCACTTATTGCTGCGCAGAAGAGTAACTTGCGCTGTATTAAATTTTTGACAGAGAAGTTGATATGGAATAATAAATAATTTTGTTTATGAAAATCTTTAAGCAGTATTTGTTGTTCTTTAGACCATAAACAGAGAATTTTGTGTTTATCTAATCTCTAATGTAAACAAATATAGCAAAACATTCGATCCAGAAGCTTTTAAAAGTATTCCTGATTAATATGTAATGGGGGGGGTATGCTTTTTAAGTTATGTTAAAGGGTCCTGGAATATAAAACAGTTTTATTAAGTGTCCCTTATCAAACTGATTTAAATGTGTTGGGCAGTTTCAGTTTGTAAAATCATTAAATGTAATAATGCTGTAATTGGTGCAATATTTTCGGTATTTCGCTTTCAGTAATAATACTTTAAACTTTTTATGCACAGTAACTTACAGTGTCTAGTATATATGGTGAAGTGTATATTATTATTTTATATTATAATATATCATTTTTCCTTTTTATGCATTAAAGCTTTCTTTTATATATTTTTAAAGGAAGTGGATATAATAGCTAATTATTAAATTTAAGAAAAGTAAACATTATCTGTTATCATGTATTCCAAGAGCTTCCAAGATATGTGCAAAGACTAAGATAAAAATTGTTCAGTAATAAAGTGTACACAGGTGATTATTAGCAAGCCAGCATTTAATTGCCAGATTTGTTTCCTTTTCAGCATAAAATTTTTTTAAGTTTTAGGATTACTCAAGAGGTATTATAAAATAAAGAGGACTACTTTTGCTCAACAACAAACACAAAATTTAATTTAGTTCATCAATGGAATAGCTAATATGTAAATAAATGATTCATTTCAACACGTGCAACTTGTGTATTATATTTTGTTAAATATTAACAATGTTCATTGAAATCCAAGATGAGATAAGATTAATATTTCTCTCTTTGATGATGTTTTTAATTGATTTTTTGATATTCTATTTATAAATCTGCAAAATTAAGTATTTTCACAAAGGTATGTTATGTTAAAATAAATTCCTTTTTACTAAATGTACTGAAAATGAGTATATTTTGTAAAAAGACATTTAATGTTTTAAAATTCCACTATTAAACATACTTATTTTGTCAAAATAAGTTAATTGCAATAGAAATGCAGTGTTTTCAAATGAGAAAGGGGCTTGGCCAAGTAAGTTTTAAATGTGTTATCAATTTTATCAAAATTACAGTTATCAAATGCATCAATGCAATCGTGCATGCTAGGAAATTACGTTGGAACTTTTATTATGTTTCTATAAACTGAATTGGCAGTTGGTTTAAAGAAATAATTGGGAAAATGTAGTAAAAGGAAAAATAATGTAAAAAAACAGTAACATTTCTTATTTTATCAGTGATTGATCTTTTGGCCTTTCGTCTTAGTAACTGATCATTTAATGAGTTTCCTATTATGCATTGAGGTAAAAAATGAGGTCTCCATATATTAAAAATGAAAGCAATGCAAACTTAGAATTATATGTTTCTAAAGATAACAGGATTGTATTCCAGAATTAGTAAATGTAGAAAACAGTGGATCGAATTTTCAAGTTTTCAGAAATTGGTATTTTTCTGTGTTTGGGGCTGAGTTCAGAAATATATGAATGTTATGTATGTGTACATATGTTGTACATACACGCATACACTACCCAACTTGTGTTTGTCATGTCTTGAAAGCGCAACTGGATATACTATATTAGGTTTATATATAGCATCATTCTAGCATAGGTATTTTGATGCAAAAATCGTACTTTTTCTGAAATGACATGCCAATTTTTTTCCATATTTCGATTATACGGCTCATATTATGCCTAAATATTAAATTTTGTAAAACTTGATGCGAAATTTGTGGAGAAATCCAAAAATTGATTTTGGCATATTTTTTCAGCTTTCGCAAAGAATAAGAAGTTCGTCAAGTACTTGGTGAACTTCTTAATTTATAGCAATCCATTTTCCTTTTATTTTTTTTATTGTAAACGAGCAGAAAAAAGTCATCATTACTATTTTCAAATAATTTTAACAAAGTGCTTATTATTATTTGACATTATTATCGGGGAAAAAAAAAAAAAAAAGATGCTAAATTTCAAAATGCTCCAATATATAAATTCATGTATATCTTAGAAAATTTTGAATAAAAAACTATTTTTTTGCAGGTGTGCCTAGAAATACATCTACTTTAAGATGATGTTAAAAATTTTCTAGGTTACAATACAAAATTTTTTCGAAAAATTTATATAAAACACTTAAATATATAAATTTTAATAATAAATAATTTAAAAGGTGTGAATGGTATTTGGATCAAGTCTAAATTTCGAATTTTGGAAGATTGAATCAAGTAAGTTTAATAAAGAAAGATATATTAATAAATATTTATCAGATTCAATCAACATTGAGGAGCTAAATACTCGTGTGATTTTTACATAACGTGGCAATTTAGCATAATTTGAGTCGTAGAATCTAAATATGGAAAAAAATCGGTATGTCATTTTAGGAGAAGGTCGATTTTGTGTCAAAATACCTATATTAGAATACTGCTATATATAAATCTAAGATGTATCGTAAGTCGTGCTATTGAGATGGGAAAAACACAATTTGAATTTCGTCAATCGGTCCAGTAGAATAGAAGATATAGAACTGTCCCCCCTTTTTTTTTGCGCAGTGTACATATATGCAGATATAATACATGCACAGATATATACATACATACATATATCCATTTTTGAATTCTGCTCTGATAACAGAAAAGCCCCCCCCCCAAATTATTCATGGATAATAATAAAAATTAGCCAGCATTTCCACAGTATTTTGCCATAAATTTGCTAAAGGGAGCAGTGATGAATAGCACCTTGTTGATAGCTAGTATGCATTGCCGAATATGTACAATTTTCTGATAATTTTTAAGCAAAACCGCTTGCTGTGTACATGCAAAGAAAAGCAGTTAAAAAAAAATAGGCACAATTTAGCAAAAAATGTGTTTTATACTTATAATATGTCATATAATCCTTACTCAAAAATTAAAATTTTTATGTGTTTTCATCTGATATGCTGATAATATGTGCTGACTTAAGTATCAAATCTTTCTTTCTTTTTTTTTTCTTTCTTTCTTTCTTTTTTTTTACCTTTTTTTTTAAGTGTCTAATCAAAAACAACATTCCAGTATGGTACAATTTTCAAATCTCTGAAATGCTGAAACAAGCTGTGAGGTGTTTTTGAATCCTAGTAGTTTATATGTGTACTGATAGGAATAAAAATTAAAAAAGGCCTCTCTTTAAAATAACAGAATAAGTTTGTTTTGATTATTTAAAATTTATACCCTTACTCTTTCATTTTTATAATATTTGACGGAAATTTCGGTGATTTTTAATTTGCCGTCACATCTTTTTTCACCTTATATCTACAATTTTTTAAAACCAAAGTTATATTCATCCCGAAATGTTGTTAAAGTGAGGGTATGAAAATGAAAATTTCTTACTTGTGAAAACCTAAAGTAGAAGTTAATGTTACTGGTAATGCTTATCATGGGATAATTCAATTCAATAGAATGTATTGGGTAAAAAATTATATTATCTTCAGCCCCCTTTCCTCCCCCCGAAAAAAAAAACTTATCTCTCATTTATATTCAGTTTATCCCTCCTGCAATCATGTAATTTGTAACCAGCAAGCAACCCTATAGGATTTGTGAAACTGGATTTATCACCGCTGCAAGTTTTTCATTAACAACTAACACTCCTTTTTCGTAGAAGGCAAGAGTTATTGAACACGTCCCATATGGGTGGAAAGCTAAAAATCTGTATGTATATAGAAATCGGTTCAACCTTCTTAACTATAAACATAAACATCACAGAAACCTTTGATACAGACAAAACATACACACTATATCTATGCTAAAAATTATTTGGAGATTATTTTTAGTATCAGACGGGCAGAATTTAGCAAATCAAAACACTGAGCGGGAAACTAGAAAATTAAACAACGGTTATGTTTTGTTTACTTTTGAAAGGGCCGGAAAGTATAGTAATTAAGCTTACATGCATATTTTTAATAATAACAATGTGCCCAACATAGTTGCGACTTTGATTTTATGAATAGAAATACGTTTCCGCTTTAAATTTATGAAAGACATTTTTTAGCAGTAACATGGGACACTTAAAAGAGTACGTAGCAGTGCCGAAGGGCTTTAGGCAATAAAATGATTCTTTGTGCGTATAATCTGCCACGTATGGCAAAATACGAAAAAGTAAGCTGTTTTATTGCGCTTAGTCTTTAATTATGATATTAAAAGTTCTGTTGCTTTATCAGCTTTTCGACCAAATACAGGTTATTAGTCAAAAGAGTCACTACAGATCTCCTTTGTCATGTTAGTTTGTTTTTCCCTGTTGAACGAAAGATATGTAAAATAAATCGTAATTTAGAGGATGTTTCCTCCTTACAAGTTTTTAAAGAGGCTAGGATTTAAAAAACGTAATTTAGTAAACAAACAATACATTTTGCATTCTGCTTGTTGCTGAATTGAGAAGGTTCAATTCACCACAGTAGAACAAACTCTGATTAATGAATACCTTATTTCTGAAAGCTTGTCTATGAACATTGTAAATGACATTTCTATAGATTAGTAACTAGTTTATATTATTATAAATCTTTTAAATTATATTTTTAGTGCTGAAATTAGTATAGTCCCCATCCAAAAAAGTGTAACCAGTCATAATTTGTATCTTCCCTTAACTTTTTATGGTGAAAATTATATTAATTAAATATAAATAACTTTTAAACTGTTATTTAATGCAGAAGTACATATTTATAAGACTTGCAGTTAACTTTCATTGACATTATACTGTTAGCAACCCATAGAAAGTTATCAGTA